TGCAATTACAATGAGCCCAAATTTATTTTGCATTTTTAAGATAAATCCAAAACATGTTCTATTAATAAAAATTACTTAACTATTACCATTATACCCTTATCTTATTATAAGGTATGATTTTCTCCCTTTTTTTCTCTTAGTGCGCCTCTCTCCGTTCAGCCTCCGTTTTGTCTCTTCTCTCTCCACCGGCGCCGCCCCCACCCCTCTTTCCTCTCTCGCCGAAACCTGTGGGAGAGGCGCCGGAACAGCGGTCGAAGACGAAGCCTGAAACGTGAGCTTCTGCTCCATCTCGCGGAGAAGTGATGCTACTGCTCGAACGGAGCCACATAAGCTGAAATTGAGTGCTCCGGCGTAGCACTGCTACCGCAGCCTCGACGACGGCCGGTTGGCTGCTGTGGTCCCCTTCTGCCGGCGACGGCACGTGATCGTCCTCGTCCTTCTCTCCGTATTCCCGAAACCACAAAACAAATCATATATATATATATATATATATATATATATATATATATATATATATATATATATATATATATATATATATATATATATATATATATATATATATATATATATATATAAAAGTAAGAAATTAAAAGAATATTCCATTAATTAAGTGTTAACAATTTTTACTGTAGGTTGGAGATTGAGTCCCGGCGTAAATAGAGATGGCCTTGTTGGTGGTGGTGTACTGGTCTTGCATTTTTTTCTGAACATAGTAGTGATTTACATTTCAAATAGCGGATTTATTGGGGATTTATGTATAGTGAATTTACGTTTTTTTCGTTTGTTAATTTTTAGTTGTGTCACTAGTGGATTACGTATGTTTTTTAGCGGATTTCGATAAGTTTGTTGTGGATTATGTTAATGTAAAGTGGATTACGTTATTTTACAGTGATTTTTATAGTAATTTTACAATGGTTTTCGATAAATTTGTAGTAGTTTCTGATGAGTATATAGTGGATTTTAATTTTTGTAACCCGGGTGGAAAAACATTTAAGTGGATTTCACTAATTTAATAGTGAGTTTCGATGAACATGTAGTGAATTACACTAATTTAACAGTGGGTTACACTAATTTAATTGTGGGATTACATTAATATTAATGTGGATTATGCTTATTTTATAGTAATTTTTACTTTATTTTCACAGTGGTTTTCGATAAATTTAGTGGTTTTCGATTATTATGTAGTGGATTTTTTATATAAAATATGAACGATTTAGAAAACTGAAATAAAATAAAAAATAAAAAATAAAAAATAAAAAAATAACAAAGTTTTGTTTTAAATTTTGAAAAAAAAAAACTATTAAAAAGAATAAAAATAAAAATAAAAATGGAAAAACATTAAAATTGCGTGCGTGATATAGGGAGAGAAGTGAGATAGTGGAGAGAAATAAGGGATTTACGTATTTAATTTTTTTTTTAATGACCCATGATAATATAATATGGTAATTTTGACTAATAGTAAATAAGGGTATTTTAGATAATTTGAGTCAATTAGATTTATAACAAATATTAGTTAAAAAATATGGATTTATTAAGAAGTCAAAATTGAATGGAGAGGTTTTGTCAAATAGCCCCTTAATACAAATGGGGGTTCTCACTAATTATAAAAATGGGGTTATATCCATCATAATATATGTAAATGATATTGGAAGTCTCACTTATAATTATCCCTAGAGTTTTTTAGGGTTCCCTGCGTTTCTATCTTATATATTTTTATATATAAAATATATGTCTATTATGCATACTTTAAATTTTAATTAATTATATGTAGGAATAAAAGCATATTCTTTTCTTATTTAAATTTTAATTAATTAGTTAAGATTGTTGCAGTTGTTTCATGATCTTATTAAGCAAAATATTTATTTTTGGGTACATTTTGGTCATCCTGGGGTATTGTCAAATTAACAAAAAAATCATTCTTATTTGGGTAATTACAAACATGGCTTCTTAACTATGAATCATCTTACACGTTCACCTTTCCAATATCAAATTTAGTGAAATCTTCTAAATTATATGGAATATTCTCCATTTTGTACCCATTGTATTCCATTTGAGCTCCACATTTTGAAGCAAGATGATTGTAATTAAGATGTAATTTTTGGCTTGTAAATATCAGATTGTGGTGAATCGTAAACTGCATTTTTATACAAAACGAGTCAAAACTAGAGAAAATTGCACAAAATCTAGAAGATTATGTTGAATTTTGCGCCATAAGAATTGATTGTAAAAAAACTCATAGTTGAAGGGGATGATTGTAATTACTCAAATAATAGAAATTTCTTTCGTAATTTGATCTTACCTCAGGGGTGACCGTATAATTTAGCGTTTATTTTTTGCCAAAAGAAAATATTATATATCAACAAAATCTTTATAATCAGAAACATTCCAATTTTCTTTTGGCAATGGCACAAATAATTACTCAAATTAGAGAGATCTCTTAAAACCAATTTATCAAAAGAGAAATAAAAAAAAAAATTAAAAAAGAAAATGAAGACCATTGAGTCAAATGTACTATAGTCTATAGTATACATGCATGTTTCAGTCAGTGAGTGAGTGATCAAATCCCCAATCAGTGACTCAATGAAAATCACAGCTCAATCACTGAAAGACATTTCACAGTCCTCTACCAATTTGCCTTCTGTAATTTTTATTTTAATTTATTTTTTCTTGGGTAAATCAAATATTCAAAAAAATATTTTTTAAAAAAACATTATATTCCAATATTTTATTTGAGTAGCCTAAAATAAATTGCACTAATCCCAAGTAAACCCTAAACACAACCCTATAACTTTCAGGGCTTTTATTTTTACAACAGCTAGTTGAGAAGATTTATACAGAAAATCTGAAGCATTCAATAAACTTATCAGCTTTATTTCTTGATTTTTTCTTTTCTTACAAAAACAAAACGCAGCGTTTCATAATTGGCTTTTCATTCTTGCTTCATTAATGTTAGCCACCTTTTTCACCTAAAACACACTTTTTCATGGTTTTTTTTTTTTAACTACCTTGTTATATCCAATCTCTGCATGCAGACATGGATTTTCTTTTATTTAATTTTTTTTTTTTGGCGTCTGAAATATTGGTTTCTTGACTTCTTCCATTAGTGGAAATATATAAATAAGAAAATGATGAGAGAGAAAATTTCTTGATTCAGAGATAGGTCAGTACATTTATATAGAGGATTACTTGTATTCGTGAGTGAAGTAATTTAAGATAAAAGGTTCTTGAATCTTGTTCTTTTGTCAGCCTGTATTTTTGTCAAACTAGGATTATATTATTTAGTAGAATCACTTGTTTGCAAAGCAATCCCAGCTGTTACTCTACTCTATCTCTCTCTAGAGAGAGAGAGAATATGTACTGATTCTTTTGGTATAAAAGGAGATGGATGCATGTTCAAGTGAAACCATACAAATTAACTTGTTCCTTAAATTAAAACTTCTCTATCTAGATTTTGACACACACACACACACACACACACAACACATAGTGAATCACACACTCATAATCACTACAATCATCATATATAACATACATAATGAGGGCAACATTATTTTGTCTTCTTGTCTTGTTCTTACACATACTACTCTGTTTGGATGGTGTATCAACCAGGCATCTTCATCCCAATCATGGTATCTCTCTCTCTCTCTCATGATTCCTTTGCTGTATCATGGTCTCTCTCTCTCTCTCTCTCTCTCTCTCTCTCTCTCTCTCTCTCTCTCTCTCTCTCTCTCTCTCTCTCTCTCTCTCTCTCTCTCTCTCTCTCTCTCTCTCTCTCTCTCTCTCTCTCTCTCTCTCTCTCTCTCTCTCTCTCTCAGTAAGCAGAGCTCTGTAAATTAAACACTAAATACATGTTTGATATATATATGTGCAGTCGCAAATATCGAAAATCGGCAGCCATTGGAGATAATGAAGAAGAAGAGAGTGGGATTAGAGGTGGTGGTGGAAAGAGAAGAAAAGATGAGAGAGATAGGATCGAGGGTACCGAGGTGTGATGACAAGTGTTATGGCTGCATGCCGTGTCAGCCGATTCAGGTGCCGACAAACGCCGCCGCCGTCAACGGCGGCGTTGGGGTTCAGTACACTAATTACGAACCAGAGGCCTGGAAATGCAAGTGTGGCCCTTCCTTCTATGCCCCTTAAACTAATTATTCTATTATATATATATTAAAAAAATAAAGAATTATTAGGGATATTAATTAATCATTATCATGATATTAATATGTATTATCTCACTAATTAGTTTGTAGTTCTATTTATTTATCTGTAAATTATGTGGTTGTTCTAGTAAATTATTATAATAATTATAATAATTATTATTAATATTATTAATCATTGTTATATGGTCATAATGTATTAAAATAAAAAAAGCGTCACTATTTCACTAATTCAAGATTTTAGTGAACTAAACAATGATTCATAGATTAACCAACCAATTATGAGATAGAATTAAACCTCTATAAATCAATCCAGTCGCGTCTAGTAATATTATACTCTCTCCGTTCCTAAATAGGTATCGTTTTTTTCATCTTGACACAAATCTTAAGAATCTCAATAAATATGTCTTGATTTTAGGAAATAGATCTTGATGGACCAAAATACCCTTGTTTATTAATTAATGCAGGAAGAGTGCTATAGAGTTAATAATGGTAAAATTGAAAAATAAGCAATTAATGCAGCATTGGAATTGTAAAGTGACAGATAATATGGAACAAAAAAAATTCTTAAAAGAGACAGATATTATGGAACAGAGGGAGTATTAATTTAGCAAAATATTAAATTATCGAACTAATGATTTAATACATTTCAATCGAGTTGGGACCGGTAGAAATTTAATTAGTGAAATTATTAACTTATGGAGTATTATTTTTTATTTTATTGTTTCGGAAAAAAAAAAGAAAAAAAATTTAAAATAACAAATAAATGGGGAAAATGGTTCTTTTTATGCATTTATTCGAAGGGCTGCGGGCCCACAAACCCAAATCAAAGAAACCCAGCTAATCGTATCCGTCTGTGTAAAATGATTCAGTGAATCCACGCAGTAATCCGCATTCGATTTGCTCGCAATGGCCACCTTTCTCAGTAATGTATGTTTTCTGCATCTCCCGCAGTTTAATTTTGTTCCTTTCAATTTCAATTTCTAATTTTTAATAATTTTAGCAGAACCCACGAAATTCATTTTTATTTATTTATTTATAATTATAATATCAGTGTAGTTTTGTGAAGAATTCAAGTGTGCGTGAAAAAGCTGATGACTCGAGGGTGATATTTATTAACTGGAAGTATAATTAATTTACATAATTCAGCCATGGGTATGATGAACTGGGGGATTTATTGTGTGAATTACATACATGCATTAGGGTTTATGAATTAGGGGTATTCCTGTAAATTAATATTTTTTATGTAAGTTCAAATTATGATTAAACTAATTTAAGGGGTTTTTTTGTCGAAATTACGAAATGTAGGAGCCTTGCTCAGCTATAAAGAACATACTTCTATCGGATTCCGAGTGTGAACGCGATGCGGTTAAGTACTATTCAGATGAGTGGCCAACCAACAATGCAAAGCTCGCTTTTGAGAAGTCCGTTTGTTTTCACGGAAAATGCAAAAGACTAATGCTGGAACAGAAGGTAAATTTAATCCCGTTATTTGGTTTTCAAATTTTTGAAAAAAATACGATTCTCGTATGATATTAACGTGTTTGCCAAATAAATTACTAAAATAAAAAAAATTAATGCAACAACGGTATACAGGGGAGATAACGATGATGGAGAACAGTATCGTAATATATTAGTTTGTTCAAGATCTGCATTTCTTTGTGACTGCCATTCCCCTCCGGGTTTTTTTCGAATATTCTTGAGTTTCACATTAATTTGTAACCGCGGGATTTGCTCGTTCACGATTTTATCTTATCTTTTTAAGTGTTTTTTTTTTGTTTTGTTTTAGGAACAATGTTGATATAAGGGAGGCACTCGAAAATATGGTTATATATTATTATTCTCTCGTGCCTTGACGATATTTTTGATGGAGGTAGGTTATGGGCTCGTAGTTGTTGAGTCGAAATACTTTTATCTCTATATTTATTAGCCGAAGCATATCTTATATAAGCCCTTATATCTCGATAATTTAGTAATGTTCTTTTTCTTAACTAATGTGTTGTCTATCTCATAATTTTCTCTTTCGTTATATCTCATTTTGCGTTGATTAATTATCGAACCCTTTGTAATATAGTACGTCGAGAAAATAAAATTTGAACGCTCGTTCCCATAAAGCACGTTGATTTTTCATTTTATTTTGCTTTTCTTTTTTATATATGTTTGTTTTTCTGCATAGTCCTTTGTCTTTCTTCTTATTTGTTTTGCTAAATCCAGGTGATGTTGGTGTGATCTATTTCCCTGTTTATGGCTAGTGGCAGATCATGTTATTCTTGGGAAAAACTATGGGCAAGAAGGTAAATGCATTAATTATTTTTCAAATCTTTTCTAGTCTTATTTATTGCCTATGGTGAATTCACAATCCATTTGCCATGGTTAAATATTTAAAAAAAAAATCCATTTAAAAATAATATTAGTACTTAGTTAATTTCATTTTTTTTTAAATGATGTGTATTTGGACTTGACTATCTATTATTTGAACAAGACTTGACTAATTATGTTTGCATGCAACACAACTAGTGGTTGCAAAAGCTTTTAAAAATACATTATAAGTGTTTTTTTGCTCGTAATTTGTTTTTAATATACTCAGGCCTTTGTAAAATCGACTTTTGCTTTTGTCTCTTTTAAAATTAGCTAGTTTAAGTTGTAATTTTAAAAGCACTATGAACTTGCTTTTTCAAATTTAAGTTGATTTTCCAGCGTATTTTGCATCCATCCCAAATTCTACAAATAAACGCTTGAAACGAATTTAAATCACAATTACTAACTTCTGATTTTAAATAAGTTTTTGCAAACAACACCTAAGTGGTGTTGAGAAGGATTAGACCATTATTATGGACAATAAAAAAAAAATTATAATAATACAATTTAAAGTTTAAAAATAAAAGTCTTCCTTTAATACCTAACTAATATGTTTCTATGGATAACAATTGCATCGAAATTTAATTAGATGGATGACATGTTAGGCAAGCAATTAATTGTTTAACAATTTTGTCAAACTTTAATGGGCAAATTACGGCTAGCTCCCCGAGTTAATCTTAAATTATGAAAAAAACTACTCATCTTTTAATAATTACAATCATTCCTTAATTGTGTATTGTCTTACAGAAAAAACTCTCTTAAATAGGTAAATTTGAGAGGGTAGAGATGAACGTGTAAGAAAATACATAGTTGGGGACTTGGGGGATATTGGTAATTAGCTAAACATAAGGAGTTTTTCGTAATTTGAGCGAGTATACCTAGGGTGCCCCGTAATTTGCCCAACTTTTAATTATATGACATTTTCGGTGAAGGAATAATGGTTTTTGATGTGACATTTCCAATATTCCATTTCAAATGTTGGAAAACAGTCAAATATATTCTTACAATAAATATTTCAAATACCTTTTTCCATATCTATTAATTAATTTTTTTTTTAAGGCATAAATGGTTTTTTCATCAAATTAATTACTTTACTAAAAGTAATTGAATTGATTGATAGTTTTATATTTTAAAATCGTGAGTAAAGAATAAAATCATTAAACGAGCAAAGGTATATTAATGCATCCACACCTAGGTGTGGAATTTTTGTTATGTAAAAGTATTGCACTCAGGTACTAAACTTTTACAAAATTAAATTACTTATTGCGTAAAATTATTCTTCCTTAGTCCTTATTACCTAATTAATATATATTTTTGAAGTCAAAAGAAATATTTTCTCAAAAAAAAAAAAAAAAAGTCAAAAGAAATATTTTAATGACGTGTGAATATTATTATTCCAATGCACGAATACAATCAACAAATATAAATAATTAATTAGTTCTTTTTTTTTAATATTTTAATTAGACTTAATAATACAAAATACAATTTTTGTCCCTCAAGTTTGTACCAATTTCACATTTGGTCCACAATGTTCACAAAAAACACATTTGATCCCTCATATTTTAAAAATTCAACACTTTTAGTTATGTCCGTCCATTTGCCGTTAAAACTAATCGAATCAAGCATGTGTCCATCAATGTCTTAATTGACGGTCTAACTATCCAAAAGTATTATATTATTGAAACATGAGGGATCAAATGTTACTTTTGTGAATATTGACGCTCAAATGTGAAACTAGTGCAAACTTAAGGGATAAAAACTGTAATTTTTTCACTTAGGATAGTAGGAAGGTAAATAAAATAAGGGTAAATTATGAAAACTCCCTGAACTTTGGCTAAATAATGAAAAACACCCCCACCTATGCGTAATTACCAAAAAACCCCTACGGTTCTTTCCGTCTTATACCAACTTCTTACAGTGTGACTTTTCACGGATTTTTTTTTATCCTAGGGAATAGACTTTACACAATTTCAGATATTTCTTTTATATCTCACTCATTTAACAAAAATGTATAATAGACTGTACACATTTTGGTTAAAAAACTCGATTAACAGTTAATCAGAGGGGGGTTTTGGTTATTACCAATAGGTGGGGTATTTTTCATTATTTAGCTTAAGTTTAGGGGTCTTTTTGTAATTTACCGATAAAATAATAAAATAATAAAAAACGTGAAAAATAAAGAAAAATAGTTTAATTAAATAATAGGAGGGATTAATTAACCGTAATCGGGAAACAAGAAATCAATGAAGACGGGAGACAGCGCGAAACAGTGGCGGTGCGGATTTCGACAGTCTCTATTTTTTCGCCCCTCTCTCTCTCTAAAAACTCTCCCAATCTCTCTTTAATTTCTCCAACCTATTAATTTTTTTTTTTAATATTTTTTTTCTCTGCCGTCGTTGTTTGGTTTCTGTGTCGTCCATCGCCACCCTTCAGCTGAGATCCCATATGGGTTTGTCCCACATTCCCATTTGATCATTATTTGCTCAGGTATTATTACAAAATCCGTTTCTTTTTCATTCTTCTTAATCTGTTTGTTGTCGATTTGTTTCGTTTTTAGTGAGCATGTGTTTTTTTTTTTTTAATTTAATTAATTTTTAAGCTGCAGAGGAGGAAATGTTGAATTTATTTATTTATTTGTTTTTGTGATTTTTACTCGGCTATGATTTGTTGTTTGTTTGGATGAATTCTTTTGTTTCTCAAATTCTTTTTCATGGTTGATTTTATGCTGTAATTTTGTGATCATTCGAATATTTTTCGGTTGCGTACTCGTTGTAATTGACTCGACTAGTCGGCTATGTTGAATCCTTTGTGATCTTGGCTAATTGTCACGTAATTCAAAACTTTTATTGTGTAATAATAATACGCTCGAATCGTTTACATCGAAGAGCAAAAGTATGAAAAATTTCGTTATATATCGATTTTCTCGCAGGTGGTGGTACATTGCAGCAATTTCTTTAAAATCGGTAATTTTTCCATGGTAGGCAAATTTTCATGTGGGCATGTGGATTTACCATGGAGAACATAGGTTGATATGAACAACCCTTTCACTTGCCTCGTTTCGCGGCAAGTGCTGTAGCTTTCTTCGCATGCTTTTTTTCCGACACCGAAAATTAGCATCGAGCTTCATATAATAGCAACCAGAAAGAAAAGAAAAAAAAGGCAAAAAAAAAATGGCTGGTGGAAGAATAAGAGCAAAGCTCCGTCGGAGCAATCTCTACACATTCGCTTGCCACAGGCCACACCCAACCGAGGAAGACAAAACAGACGAAATCGAAGGACCAGGTTATTCAAGAATCGTCCACTGTAATAAGCCTCATATTCACGAGATAAAGCCCCTCAAATACTGCACAAATTACATTTCGACCACCAAGTACAACTTCCTCACATTCTTGCCAAAGGCGATTTTCGAACAATTCCGACGTGTAGCCAACTTGTACTTTCTCCTAGCTGCAGCCTTATCTCTAACTCCCGTTTCTCCGTTCGGTCCGATGAGTATGATAGCACCGTTGGCTTTTGTGGTGGGGCTGAGTATGGCTAAAGAAGCTCTTGAAGATTGGCGGAGGTTTATACAAGATATGAAGGTTAATTTACGGAAAGCTAGTGTGCATAAAGAAGGGGGTGTGTTTGGTCTTAAACCGTGGATGAAGCTTCGAGTTGGAGATATTGTGAAAGTGGAGAAAGATCAGTTCTTCCCTGCAGATTTGCTTCTTTTGTCTTCGAGTTACGAAGATGGGATTTGCTATGTGGAAACTATGAATTTAGATGGGGAGACGAATTTGAAAGTGAAACGGGCTTTGGAGGTAACTTTGTCTCTCGATGATGACCCAACTTTCGAGGGATTTGATGCAACCATAAGATGCGAGGATCCGAATCCAAATCTCTACACTTTTGTTGGCAAACTCGACTATAATAGTAGGGTCCACCCACTCGATCCGAATCAGATTCTTCTGCGAGACTCGAAGCTTAGAAACACAGCCTACGTTTACGGAGTCGTTATATTCACCGGTCATGACAGTAAAGTGATGCAGAACGCTACAAAATCCCCTTCGAAACGGAGCAGAATCGAGAAACAAATGGATAAAATCATATACATTCTATTCAGTTTCTTGGTTTTCATATCATTCATTAGTGGAGTGGGTTTTATTGTGAAGACGAAAAACGATTTACCCCATTGGTGGTATTTACAGGTTCCTGATAGAGAAGGTCTCTTCGATCCAAACAAGCCTTTGCAGTCAGCTTTTTATCATCTAGTGACTGCTCTGATGTTGTACGGATATTTGATACCGATATCTCTGTATGTATCTATCGAGGTTGTGAAAGTGCTTCAAGCTATATTCATTAACCAAGATCTTAACATGTACGATGAGGAAAGTGGGACCCCTGCTCAGGCTCGGACATCAAATTTAAACGAGGAGTTAGGACAGGTGGACACAATTCTTTCGGACAAAACAGGGACTTTGACTTGCAATCAAATGGACTTCCTTAAATGCTCGATTGCCGGCACTGCGTACGGTACTCGTGCTAGTGATGTGGAGCTTGCTGCTGCTAAACAGATGGTAATGGATATGGATGGACAAGGGCAAAATGGGAATGGGAATTTTTCAGAGAAAAACGGGCATGAATTTGCGGGACCCGAAATTCAGCTCGAGACTGTGATTACATCGAAAGACGAAGACGCGATTAATAATAAGAATCCGATAAAGGGGTTCAGCTTCGAAGACAGCAGGCTTATGAATGGGAACTGGTTTAAAGAACCGAACGAGAATAACATTTTGTTGTTCTTCAGAATACTGTCTCTTTGCCACACTGCCATTCCGGAGCAAAATCAAGAAACGGGAGTTTTTACCTATGAAGCTGAATCGCCTGACGAAGGTGCTTTCTTAGTTGCTGCGAGAGAATTCGGTTTCGAGTTCTGTAAGAGAACACAGTCGAGTGTGTTTGTGCGTGAGAAATATCCTTCCTCTCAAGAACCTACTGAAAGGTGAGACCACAGACAGCATACTTTTAGGCCTCGTTTGGTTGATAAGATTATCCACAATTAATTAAATAATTAAATGTTTGGTTAGTCAAATAGCTTTTCGGGCCGGCCTGCAATTGTGGGAAAAAAATGGCTCTAATCTCGGTCCAACCATATAATTGGGGTATCATAAATCTTATTTCGGCCAATCTTTATCTTAGGAACCAAACGAGGCCTTAAGTTATTGCTTTGAATAATTAGTTTATCTGACGCGTAATATTTGTCATGCAAAAATTCAGGGAGTTCAAAGTTCTCGCGTTGTTGGATTTCACTAGCAAAAGGAAGAGAATGTCGGTAATCATTAGAGATGAAAAGGATCAGATTCTTCTCCTGTGCAAAGGAGCCGATAGGTACGTTCTTAAGTTATTATTATTTATTTATTTTTTTAAATGGCTTTCTTAATCTAACTAATGTAATTCTTTGTTTACAGCATCATTTTCGATAGATTATCGAAAAACGGGAGAATGTACGAGGAAGCAACAAGAAAGCATTTGAATGAATACGGAGAAGCTGGATTGAGAACTCTTGCACTTGCATACAAGAAACTCAGTGAGGAGGAATATTCCACTTGGAATGACGAATTCACAAAGGCCAAAACCTCGTTTGGTGCTGACAGAGAAGCAAATCTCGAGCGGGTTTCCGATTTGATGGAAAAGGACTTGATACTCGTCGGTGCAACTGCTGTCGAGGACAAATTACAGAAAGGCGTATGTTTTATATACACACATATATAGTTATATATGATTATTATTAGTTTTAAGCGCGGTTTCGGTCTTATTCTTTGTTTGTTATTTGTTTTTTTATAGGTGCCTCAATGCATCGATAAACTGGCTCAAGCTGGTTTAAAGATATGGGTTCTGACAGGTGATAAGATGGAAACTGCAATTAATATAGGGTCCGTTTTCTCACTAGCAAGAATGTGTCTTATTTTTATACTTGTTTTATTAAATTTGGTTTTCTCAATTTTAAGCTAAAATCTTGTCGTCGTTATGCAGATTTGCTTGTAGTTTGCTTCGACAAGGGATGAGGCAAATATGTATATCGTCGAATTTGGATGCAATAGTTCAAGATTGCAGACAGGTAATATTTTTTTTCTCTCTTTCTAGAAGTTAAATATTAATTATAGGTTTTGTTTTTCTTTCTAGAAGCTAAATATTAATTATGGCTTTTGTTTTAAGGCTGCAAAAGAGGACATATTACAGCAAATTACGAACGGAACCGAAATGATTAAGGTAGAAAAGGATCCACATGCAGCATTTGCATTGATAATCGACGGGAAAACTCTGACTTATGCGTTGGAAGATGATATGAAGCACCATTTCTTGAATTTAGCAATCGAGTGTGCTTCTGTTATTTGCTGTCGTGTTTCGCCCAAGCAGAAAGCTCTCGTGAGTAATTCTGATATTTTATTTCATAAACCTCTCGATTTATTCTATAGACATATAATATTATTTGGAAAAAACTAGGTGACAAGATTGGTTAAAGAAGGAACTGGAAAAATCACATTAGCAATTGGTGACGGTGCAAACGACGTTGGTATGATTCAAGAAGCTGACATCGGTGTTGGCATCAGCGGCTGTGAAGGAATGCAGGTTTGTTATATATATATATATATATATATATATATATATATATATATATATATATATATATATACATACATACATATGTATTGAATAATAATAAATGCAATTAAATATATCATTTTTGTTGCAAAAAGGCCGTGATGGCGAGCGACTTTGCAATAGCGGAGTTCCAATTTCTCGAGAGGCTTCTTGTCGTACACGGGCATTGGTGCTACAAAAGAATTGCTCAGATGGTACTTAATTACTTTCGAGTTGAACTTCTTACAAAATATTTCATTTAATTTACGTACGTATATAAATCGTATTATTTGCAATAATTCTATGATTGCAGATTTGCTATTTCTTCTACAAGAACATTGCATTTGGCCTTACAATCTTCTACTTCGAAGCTTTTGCCGGTTTCTCGGGACAGTCTGTTTACGACGACTGGTACATGCTACTGTTCAATGTCGTACTAACTTCATTGCCCGTTATTTCTCTTGGAGTTTTCGAACAAGACGTCGATTCTGAAGTGTGCTTGCAGGTCAGTTTAAGTTTTCTTACAGTCGTATAGTAATCGAGTTTATTGCATTTAGTACCCATGTGTTGCATCGAACTGCTGAATATTGAAAATTACACCTACCTACCCAAAAGTTAGGTCAAATTACAGTTAGATCCCTAGACGTCTTCTGATTTGAAAAATTATGTATACCTTCTTTGAGGTAATGAGGTTTGACTCATTTGACTTTTTGACTTTTTGAAATTATATTTCTACCCTTAGACCAAATAATGAGTAAATTACATTATCGTCCCTCGATGTTAGATCTAATTACATTGATACCCCTCATATTTTAAAAATATTACAGAATCCTCCCTTAAAGTTCAATTAGGTTTGACTCAGTTGACTCTCTGACTTTTTGAAATTCCATTTTTACTCTTAGACCAAATAGTGAGTAAATTACATTATCGTCCCTCGATGTTAAGTGAGTAAATTACATTATCGTCCCTCGATGTTAGATCTAATTTCATTGATACCTCTCGTATTTTAAAAATATTACAGAATCCTCCCTTAAAGTTCAATTTCAAAAAAAAAAAAAAAAAAAGAAAAAAGAAATCCAAACTCATTATATTTTCGTTTTCACTATAAAAAATAAAAAAATTGCAGTTTCCAGCATTATACCAACAAGGCCCGAAGAACCTATTCTTCGACTGGCAAAGAATATTCGGATGGATGGCGAACGGGCTCTACACCTCCCTGGTCATCTTCTTCCTCAACATAGTAATCTTCTACGACCAAGCCTTCCGCCTCGAGGGCCAAACCGCCGACATGGTCGCTGTGGGGACAGCCATGATGACCTGCGTCATCTGGGCGGTAAATGTCCAAATCGCCCTTACCATGAGCCACTTCACCTGGATCCAGCACTTCCTAATATCCGGCAGCATAACCATGTGGTATCTTTTCCTCCTCGTCTACGGAGAAATGGCATATTCCCTGCGCGTGAACGCGTTCCGCGTACTCATCGAGATTCTCGCCCCGGCCCCTATTTACTGGTCCACCACCCTCCTTGTGACGGTGCTCTGTAATCTGCCGTACCTCGCGCACATTTCCTTCCAGAGGTCTTTTAAGCCGTTGGATCATCATATTATTCAGGAGATTAAATACTCGAGAAAAGATATCGAAGACGGGCATATGTGGAGTAGGGAAAGGTCGAAGGCGAGACAAAAGACGAAAATCGGGTTTACCGCGAGGGTCGATGCGAAGATAAGACAGTTGAAAGGGAGGCTGCAGAAGAAGTATTCGACTATGAGCACGTGTCATCATCCGATTGGGCAGCAACAAACGTGAGGTTTATCTACATTTTGTAATAATGGGTTCTTTTTATATTGATTACTATTATTGTTTATTATTATTTTTTTGTTCTTTGGAGGCCATTTTTGATTCATTTCTTTGTTTTTTTTTTTGCCCGGTATAATTGAGGTATTATTTGTTTGAGGCAAAAAGTACATACTGAGGCTAATTTGTATGTACAGTTTTATAGGGTTCGATTTTTATGCTACAGTCGGTGAACGTTACTTAGTTATATACTACCGTATACGTTATACGTATATAGATTTTATTCCCATTTTACCCGAATTCATATATATATTTATGTGCGTGGTGTGTGTCGAAATTGAAGGTGAATTTTATTTACCCAAATTACTCAGTGTAGTTCGTCAGGTAGCATCTTTAGTCGGTGTTAATTTTGCAGCTCACAACCTTCGCAGAATGGGCGTTTAACGCCGATAGGGATGGTTTTGTTGACATTAGTATTTTACCGTTTTCTCGTTTTTGTGACGGGGGTTACCGTTTTGTTGACATTAGTATTTTACCGTTTTCTCGTCTTAATGAATTTCCTTTTAATTATAAAAAAAAATCTACAAAGATAATTTCAATTAAAAAAAGTTAGAAACTATTATATGTGAAATTTATGAGGATGCAATCACTTTAATTTCATTTTTATGGAGTAATGAATTATTTATTTTTATTATACCTTTTTTAAATCTCAAATTATTGAATTGGAGATGGGTATTTTTTATTTTGGAAAAAAAACAAATATAAGGATCATGGGTCGACCCGTCAGCCCATTATTAAAACGGCGTCGTGTGGCGTAAACGGAGAAAGAAGAACATATATAAATAAGTAAACAAATACTGCAACCTAGGTGTGAGCGAAAAAATATAAGTGTGCGAATTCATTGATTTGATCGACGCCACCAATGAATTGTTGTTGTTTTTTCGTATAAAATTGTTCGATTCTTTGTTCCATCTCTCTTCTCCTCTCTCTCTCTCTCTCTCTCTCTCTCTCTAGGTAGACATCTGCAAGTTTCAGTTGAATTTGAATAAAGCAGGAGCTGGGGTTAGGGTTTTGCTCTTTCAATTGAATGGAGCCGCGCGTGGGGAATAAGTTTCGATTGGGGCGAAAAATTGGGGGCGGATCCTTTGGGGAGATCTATTTAGGTTTGCTTTAGAATTTACTTCTCTAATTTCTCTCTGTTTTTTTTTTTTTTTTTTTTTTTTTTTTAAATTTTTCGGATATTTTGTTGATTAATTACCTTTTCTGAGTTGGGTTTAAGTATTTTTGTGTTGTCTGTTTTGCAGGTACTAACATTCAGACGAATGAAGAAGTTGCAATTAAGCTCGTGAGTAATTTATCAAGTGTTGTTTTACTCTTCTTTTACAGTACTTTTTCTTTCTGTGTTTTTGCTTACGTCACATTTCACTCTCGATCAGGAAAATGTGAAGACAAAACATCCCCAATTAGTGTACGAGTCCAAGCTGTACAAATTACTTCAAGGAGGAAGTAAATGATCTCATCTTTTCTCTGTCTTTGTCTCGATTTTTTTTTCCGACATTTTATATTTGTGAACACTAAGAAAATTGAAATGATTTTACGTTGACAGCTGGAATTCCGAATGTTAGATGGTTTGGAGTCGAAGGAGACTACAATGTTCTTGTGATGGATTTGTTAGGACCTAGTCTTGAAGACTTATCCAACTTCTGTAGTAGAAAGCTTTCTTTAAAGACTGTTCTCATGCTTGCCGAACAGATGGTACGATACTTCGATATTTCGTTTCCGTGTTTTTGGTTACGAATAAACAATCGTATTTTTCCAATATTTACTCAGAAATCTTGAACTCTTTTTTCTTCAGATTAATAGGGTTGAGTATATTCACTCTAAATCTTTCCTGCATCGCGATATTAAGCCGGACAACTTTCTCATGGGTTTGGGAAAACGTGCTCATCAGGTGTCCGTTTTTGCCATTTTCATTTTTTTTGCTTATATAATCTGTTGGTATTTGCGACTAAATTTCGATTGCATGCAGGTTTATGCCATAGATTTTGGACTTGCCAAGAAATACAGAGACTCCAATACTCATCAACACATCCCTTATAGGTAAATACGTCTTCAATATCCATAGAATAAAACCCTTATTTTTTCAAGTATGATTGTTCTGTAATTTTTTTCTTTTTAAAAGGTTTCTTGTTATACTTTCTATTTGCAGAGAGAATAAAAATTTGACCGGGACAGCCAGATATGCAAGCATGAATACCCATCTTGGCATTGGTATGCATGTGACCTCTGTCAAAGCTCCGTTTATTTCTTAATTTTTAACCTTTGAGATAGATATAATCTGATTTGTCGTTGATTTTGCTTTACAAATGCATAGAACAAAGTCGGAGGGATGATCTAGAATCACTTGGATATGTTCTCATGTATTTCCTAAGAGGAAGGTATATCCGTAATCCGATACTCTTGCCTTTTTTTTCTATTTCCTCTGCTTGCACTTCTCGTAATATGTCTACTCACCTCGAAATTATTTAGCCTTCCGTGGCAAGGGCTGAAAGCTGGAAGCAAGAAACAAAAGTACGAGAAAATTAGGGAGAAAAAACTCTCAACCTCTATTGAGGTAATTTCCCATTTTCTCTTTTTTTTTTCCCTTCCGAATGATTGTATATTTCGAAAAATTAAAGGACCTGATTTTTTTTTTTACAGGCTTTATGCCGCGGCTATCCTAGTGAGTTTGCGTCTTACTTCCATTATTGCCGTTCGCTTAGATTTCAAGATAAACCAGATTACGCGTATTTGAAGAAAATTTTCCGGGACCTTTATGTTCGAGAAGGTTTTGAAACCTTTTTCATATCGAAGTCTTCATATTTACACTCTCCTTTTATTCTTTTGCTTCAAACTTTTTGTATTCCCTGGCAGGTTTTCCGCCCGACAATGTATTTGACTGGACTATTGTGAAATATCAGCGGCCAGAGCTTGCAACTGCTGCTGGAACAAGTTCAGGTGTGCCGAATGCTAATATCGAAAAGCAGTCAGGTGATATTCTTTGGCAATTAGTCAGATTGAATCGTATCCGGATATGGGGGCAATGCCCCCCCAAAAAAAAAAAAAAAAAAACCCACTTATCAAAAAACCCTACTATTTTATGTAGAGAATTGTTGTTTTTCAAGTTAGCTACTTCTTACGGAGTGTCGTATTGTGCAAAAGATTTTCTGTAACATGTTGATAAGTTTATTAAGATGTATATTTTCTAAGAGTTGAATGTATTTCTATTTTCCTACAAATTTCGTACAGGTGGCAATGAAGGCAAGGCCCCCGTTGGGTCTGGGAATGCAACTCGAGGCAGAAGCTTCTTGAATCCTGGAAGCTTCTTGAGAGAAAAAGGTCCAGTTGCAAAAGACAACACCGTGGCTAAAGAAGTAAGATTGCCCCACACTCCCAGTAAGAAATAAAACAGAAGTTGTCCCCTTCAGTTCATGTCTCTATTTCTTACACGGGTCCCACTTTTTTTTTTTTTTTTTTTTCTTTTTTTCTTTTTTTTTTTTTTTGCAGCTGCACGAATTAAATTAATTTTCTTGATTTATTTTTGGTATTTTTGCAGGTATCTAGTTCTAGTATCTTCAGACAAGGTGGATCTTCGAGGCATCCCGAGATTTCTGGCAATGAGAACGACAATTCTTACACACGTGCAACAGATACTAGCTCAAGAACACTTGGTAATAATTCAAGTGTGGCACAAAGAAGTTTGGCGATGACATCATCAGATGTTAAGCCCTCGTCTTTTACTAAAAACCCTTCAAACACGAAGAGTCTCGAATCTACAGTCAAAAGCATGGCTAGCTTGAACCTTGGCCATAATGAAAGGATGCAATAATTAATTAATATTAATTAATTAATGGCAAGCTACTCTTTTTTACCGTTGCATTATTATTCACCTCTAATTATCGCAATGCTTTTACATATTAGATAGCTGCTAGAAGAGTTCCGTATTATGATGCGAATGCAGATGCAAGAGCATACAATAAGAAAGTGACCGTAAAATTCCCGAACAAAAACTAATATGCACTATAGTCGATAGTTTTAACTCTTTTAATCACTCGTTTTTTATGAGTTAATGTTTGATGTTTATTGAATTATCTTCTCTTTCGATTTGTCCCGAGTGAACTATATGATGGTTGATGCATGATTAATAGTTATTAAATTTATTAATAATTGTTTAATTACACCATGCTAAATGACATTTTATCATGTGATTAAATAAAGTAACGTGTTCGTGTGTGATTGGACTAGTTATCGACACTCGACAGAAACGATCGGAAGTATTCAAATGCTTCTTGATGCAATACTATTTGCTAGAGTTGGTTTCAAGTACACATTTTGTTTATTACATCAGCCACTCTCCCTTAATTTAGTGGATTAGTTAATTAATTAATTCAGTTGTGTGTTAAAGGTTACTAATTCTTTGCTTCTATTGACCTATTCCATCAGACTAATATAATCAATTACATAAGCTTTCCTTTGACTAGGAAATGGTATTTCTTCTTGTTCTTGAAACAAGTCATCCTATTGTAAAATCATAAACATTAAACATAAGATAAATAATACATTTTATTACAATAAACATAAGACAATTGTGTAATAATATCCAATTCAATCAATCATATCAGTATCTTGATCCTCAAGAACTTCAAATCCCTTTTATTCAACATAAAAAAAAAATTCAAGCAACTTTTATTCCATACAACAAATCTTCACAACACCAACACAATTTTTTCAAGAATTCGAGAACTCAAACAATTAAAATAAAAAAACGGACAACATAAATCACCACAAACGATGAACGACTCGGCTGCAAGAATCTTTGATCCACCTGAAGCTTCTTTTAACAGAACCCATCATTGAACCGTTGACGGAATACGCCTTATAGGCAACAACTCTCCTTTTCCTCTGGAACTCAGGGTCGGAATTGTAATTCCATCTGTTCGATGAAGAAGAAGACGAGACCACGCCACCGTTGTTTTCTTTCCTGCTTCTTACATCCTTAAACCTATTGTTGTAATCCAGATATGGAGGAGGGTTTTCGTAATTACGAGTGCTGTAACTCCTCATATCACTTATGCTCGAGTTGGTTCTTGAAATTTTCTCCATGTTTGGAATAGTTTCTTGCATTTTGAAAACACAAGAGGCAGAGGGAGAATAAAAATTTGGTTTCTTTTTATTTGCTTTGTGTTGTAGTTTATATAGTAATTTTTTTGATATAGTGATATGTCACATTCAAAGTAATTTTTTTTATTTTTTATTTTACTATATATTTCTATAAGTTAGTTGCTTTTCCGTGGAATTTATAAATTCGGTTATCGTTTGACCGTTTTCTTGAATAAAATTATGGGGAAATTTGCTGAACACTCCCGAGTACTAATACCATTTCAAATCAAGATTTTCATATTTTCGTACTTTGTCCATCGGGCGGTTCGGTTAGAGAACTTAGACTGAAAATAGTCATTTTTGACCGAAAACACCTTTTTCTCCTCTAACTCATCCATCTTCAAAACTGCATCCACTCCGAAGAATGACATTTCACGTAATTAGAGAACATTTATTTTCATCGGGTTTCAGTTTAAGATGTCTATTTTCAGTCCAAGTTCTCGTACTAAGCGCTCCATTTAAAAGTCTAGACCGTCTATTTTCGATCTGAACTTTCCAAATATATTGGTTATTTCCAGTCTAAAATATTAATTTTGGTTAGAAGCTAAAATATTAATTTTAGTTTTTTAATTTGGTCTTGTAAAAGACTATTACTTGTTCACATCTCAATTTAAGAATAAGACTGGATGCATGAGCCACAGCAGTTGATAAACCATATTTGTTAATTTGGAATTTAGCAGACCTTTTCTGATTTTTGACCAATGGCAATGGTATTATTAAATTTCATTTTTTTAATTTTTATTGAACAGGAAAATTTCATGTGTAGTTAAATCTAATAGTAGTTGAGCCATAGCCATCAAGATTAAGACGTAGTTATCGCAGTTTTTTAACTATGTAGCAGGTTGAAAAGTTCACCGCAAAATTTGCACGAACACTAATAAACGCAGACGCCTAACACAGCTCGACAACTATAGAGAATGAACCAATTTTTCGGGACAAAAATTCGAATACGATACATACCTACAGACAAAACTGCAACAGTGTATATAATTTATCCACCCACAGCGAATCGGATTATACATTCATGCACCAGTTTTCACAAGGGTGGATCACATCATCTTTTGCAAATTAAATTAACAAAAAGAAAGAAAAAAAAAAACAAAATTAAACTAGAAAAAGAAAAAAAACTTCGAACGAGCCTCCCTCTTGCCAGAAACGAACCAAAAATACTTCAAAAAAAACCGCAACCTCAAAGAAGATCAGCCACGTTCGACGGAAGCTCCTCAATGACAACATTGTAGAACTTCTGAATATCCTGGAGCATCTTTTCATCCTCCCTAACAAGAAAATTAATCGCAACTCCCTTTCTCCCAAACCTACCACTTCTTCCGATCCTGTGCAGGTAATTCTCGGGCTGAGTTGGCAAATCGTAGTTGATTACGAGCGAAACCTGCTGCACGTCAATCCCACGAGCCAAAAGATCGGTGGTGATAAGCACACGAGAAGAGCCCGATCGGAATTCGCGCATGATGATGTCACGTGTGTTCTGGTCCATGTCACCGTGTGTGGCGGAGACAGTGTGGTCCCTACCTCGCATCTTGTCTGTGAGCCAGTCGACCTTTCGCCTGGTGTTGACAAAGATGACGCTCTGGGTGATTGCTAGGGTTTCGTAGAGGTCGCATAGCGTCTCTAGTTTCCACTCTTCCTTTTCAACGTTCACGTAGAACTGCTTGATACCCTCGAGGGTTAGCTCGTCTCTCTTCACGAGAATCCTTACGGGCTTGTTCATGAACTTTCGGGTGATTTCGAGGGCTTCGGGAGGCATTGTGGCGGAGAACACACCGACTTGTACTTTCGATGGCAGCAGCTGGAAAATGTCGTAAATCTAGCAGCAAAAAAAAAAAAATCCATAATTAATTTTAGGCTCGGTGAATAAAAATTGACAGAATTGTCAATATGCCAAAACGGGCTTATTTCAGACACCTTGTATGAACTATACTATGGCTCTGATTGTATCAACGAAAAATGACAAGTCAAATGGTGAAGATGTAAAGTCAAACAAATTTCTTGGTTGGTTGTAAAGTAAATACCGAGTAAAGTGATTTCAAGTATGAAGAGGAAACATTTTTTCTCTTAAAACAACGAAAACATATTTTTAGCAATCCTTTCTTTTTAAATATAAGTAATTTTCCATAAATAATTTCCATCACTAGTTCTCTAACGAATGATGGTGGTGGATTGGAATGGTGGTGCAAAAGAATCAAATTGTGAAGGTCATTTACGGTATTTTATGTAAGATTGTGTTCGGGTTTTAGAGGTGAAATTAGAGATTAGAAGAAAGAGATAAATATATACCTGATCCTTAAAACCACGAGACAGCATTTCATCAGCCTCGTCCAAGACAAACATCTTGATGCTGTCAGCACGGAGTGACTGTCTTCGCAGCATGTCAAACACACGGCCAGGGGTTCCAACAACGACGTGGACCCCAGCGGAGAGGATCCTCTGGTCCTCACGGACTGAGGTTCCACCGACACAAGCGTGGACCTTCACACCGAGGTAGTCACCTAGTGCACGCATAACCTTCTCAATCTGCTGAGCGAGCTCTCTAGTGGGGGCCAAAACCAAGGCCTGGCACTGTGTCAAACCGTAATCGAGCTGCTGCAAAATGCCAGAGCAGAAAGTAGCAGTTTTTCCAGTTCCGGATTGTGCCTGCTGAATGACATCGAGTCCCTTGCAGAAAGGAACAATGCCCCTTTGCTGGATTGCAGAGGGCTTCTCAAAACCTTTGTCGAACAAAAAAAAAAGGTAAAACAACATTATAAATACGAAACAAGATGTTGTCTGAAGCTAAACAAACGGTTTTATTGCAATCATACCGTAGGCATAAATGCCTCTTAGGAGATTCTCTTGAAGACCCATTGCATCGAAACTATCGTAAACCTCGTCATAGGAAGTAAAGAATTCTTCTCCCTCAACTTGGAGGCTGCACCAGAAAATTGAACAAGATTAAAGCTTTCCATGCCTATTACTTCAATGAATAGGTTGGACAAAAATAATCATTTGTAAAGGGAACTTACAGTTCGTTCATCCTCGAGTCAAACTGACGAGTATCAAATTGAGATCCTTCTGGTGCCAAACCTGCCATACTGCAGTTGGAAAAATACATTAGTGAGTTCAATACTAGAACCATTAGAAAAGTAATAAAAACGCGAGGCGGAAAATAAATTTCAGAAACTTCGATTCTTTGAAAGTAATAGATATTACAGAAGAGCCAAACTCGCAAACCATTTATTATGGTGTACAAGCATTAAACTCCTGTTCACATGTTTGGGGAAGATATCCAACGAGGCAAGGGGCTATCAGAAATTTGTACTAAGTAGTACAAATAATAGCTCCTGAAATCCTCATCCCCATAATTCATAACCCTCGAATAGAAGGACGCATACATCCATAAACCGCTTCACTCAAAAAAGTTGAATCTTTTTACCTTGAAAAGTTTACAAAATAACCCAAAAACGATAACAAGTAACCAAACAATATGCTTACATTCACCAATTAGATCCAAATGGAAAACTCTCCGACACTACAAGTACTAATACATGACGAGAAGTAAAAGGACTGGGCAAATAAATTCAGAAACTTCTTTTATTTGAAAATAATAGATGTTACAGAAGAGCCAAACTTGCAAACCATTTACTGTTCTGATGTTTTGGGGAGAATATCCATCGAGGCAAGGGGCTACCAGAAATTTGAACTAAATAGTCTACAAATAATAGCCCCTGAAATCCTCATCCCCTAATAAACCGACGAATACATCCATAAAAACCTTGGTCCACTAAAAAAAATCAATCTTTGCCCCCAGAAAAGTTAACATGTTACAAAAAAACCCGAAAATATAAGAGTTGCGACGTAGCCACACAATGTGCTTACATTCACCAATATACACAACTTTGTTGCAATTCAACATATGCACTTTGGCTTCTCAATTGATCCTAGTTGAGAAATAAAAAACTCCGAAAATTACGAGTACTGAACATGCCTAATAAATACAGATTTAATCGGAAAAAGAACCACCTGT